AAAACTAAAAATAGGAACATGTCTGCATCGGTTTTTACCAGGAGTCCAACAGATTCTTAAAGCCACTTAGAGAGGTCAAGGTCGAGAGCTTCAAATCTTTTTGTAAGATATTCCAGGAAACAGAAGCGGAGTAGGAGAAGGCCCGTTTGCCTAGTTCAGTCCACACTGAAAGAACAGCTGCAGGTAATAATGTCCTGAGAGCGCACTCCGTAGCTGCACTCACGCAGAGACATGTAGGAGGAGATGTATGAAGGCAGCAGACCAAGAAGTGATTTAAAGATGAAAATGTACCAGTGAGAGAGTCTGCGTGAAGTTAATGATGACCAGTTAACCAGTGAATACAGGGTGCAGTGGTGGGTATGATAATCACATCCAGTTATGAATCTTAGTGCACCATGATAGACAGCATCCAACATCTGCAGCATCCAACATCTGCAGGGTTCTTGTAGGAGCGTTCATGTAAATATTGTCACCGTAATCAATGGAGGGAAGGGAAGTCACAGATACAAGGCGTTTTCTAGCATTCAAAGTTAGATAGGATCTGTTTCTGAAAAAGAAACCCAGTTTAACTTTCAGTTTCTTTATCAAGTTTTCCACATGGAGCTTCAAAGAGAGATGTGAGTTGACCAAGATACCCAAATATTTATAGGAATCAACAAACTCAATGGGGACACCATTTGAAGATGAAATCAGAGGAAGAACTGCTGGGACTGACTTCCTATTTGAAAAAAAGCATCCCTTTGGTTTTGTCGGCATTTAGGACAAATTTGAGGCGGAACAAATCAGTCTGGATGATGTTGAATGCAGATTTCAAAAGCTGGAAAGCCTTAGCAACAGTTTTAGCTCAACAATAAACAACTGTGTCATCAGCATAGAAATGTATGGATGCATCAGGGATGTTTTTACCAACATTACGTATTACGTATTACGCAGTACGTTGACTGTTAAATAACTGGAGGAAGTACCATTATGTTGAACACATTGCCTCCGGTCTGAAAGATAGTTAGAGAACCAACCTATGGTGTGATCTGAGAAACCGATTTCTGAGAGTTTATGACACAAGATGTTATGATCCACAGTGTCAGAATCTTTAGACAGGTCTAAGAAAAGTGCAGCACAATAATCCTTAGCATCCAGTGCTTCAACAACATCATTAAGAACCTTCAGTGAAGCAGTGGTTGTGCTGTGTTGTTTCCTGAAACCAGATTGATGTGGAGGTAAGATGTTAAATGAGTTCAGGTAATTTTTGATTTGAGAGTTTATCAGTTTTTCTAGAACATTGACCAAAATGCAGAGTTTAGAGATTGGTCGATAGTTGTTCAGTGAGGTGGGGTCTCCTCCCTTCAGCAAAGGAAGAACAAAGGCTGTTTTCAAGTGTCTGGGATGGAGTTTTGTCTTATGGAGAGATTGAAGATGTGGGTCACAGGGACTGTGATGAAATGAGCAGCCAGCCTTAAGAAATAAGGTGGAAGTTCATCTGGACCTGCAGATTTTTTAGGATCAAGATCTTTTAACAGTTTATTCACCTCACTGACTGAAAACGGAGAAAAAGAGAAGGTGTGATTAACTGAGGATTGACTTGTAGGAGGGATTTGATTTGTAAAAGTTTGGTTATTAATTGAAGTGGCTGATTTTCCATTAGTAACTGTGTCAAATAATGAACTAGAAGCAACAAAATGTTTGTTGTAACAGTTCAGATCTCGTACTTGTTTGACACAGGAACAGAGTTGTGATGGGAGGTCAGAGGATTGGGGGGTGCCTGAGAGAGATTTGATGGTTATCCAGAATCTGTTAGGGTCATTTAGATTTTTGGAGGTCTGAGATAAGAAATAGCTGTGTTTTGCTGCTTTGACAGCAGTTGTACATTTATTCCTCATCTATCCAAAACTCAACCAATCAGTGTATGAGTCAGATTTTCTCGCTGCAGCCCAAAGATGATCTTTCCAGTGAAGGAGGTCAGCTAGCTCAGGAGTAAACCAGGGGCTGTTTCGTCTCTTTATTCTAAACTGACGAAAAGGAGCATGTTTGTTCACAAAATGAAACTATTATGAAAATAATTCCAAGTGGAGTTCACAAAATGAAACTATTATGAAAATAATTCCAAGTGGCGTTCACATCGTCAGTTAATAGAATATGATGCCAGTCAAAGTGAGACAGATCCCAGACGAATGACTGTTCGCAAAAACATTTCAGATCCCTTTTTTGAATTAATCTGGGCTTAGAAGGTGGAAATTTAATATCTCTATGAGTCGCTGTCACACAAAATCACTCAAAATGTCAGCGAATACACCTGCACCAGGGATTTTGTAAAGCATATTTGTTAGAAACAGGTCTAAGATGGAAGATTTTTCAGGACGATTTTTGTTTGGTCTAGTGGAAAAGTCTATCAGTTGGGTTAGATTGAGAGACAGGCAACATTCCTTGAATTTATCACAGAGGGGGGTGGACTTATCCCAGTCAATGTTGAAATCTCCTGCCAAAAAGATCTCTTTGAATTTTAAATTACCAAGGAATTCTATCAGGGAGGACAGAGCCTCAGGTGTTGCTGAGGGGGGGGGGGGGGATGATAACAACCCACTACAGATAAGATCTGGCCTCCATTCAAAGTAATGTTTACAGCTAAGGCATCAATTTGGTTTGGAATTGTTTTAGAAGACACAAGGCTAGCAACTAGAGAATTTCTGATGTAAATAGCGACTCCACCCCTCCTTTTTTGACGAACACAGCGGTAGATGTTAAATCCATTGATTACCAGGTCATTATTAAGTACAGATTTGTTGAGCCCGGTTTCAGAGATGAAGATTACATCTGCCCCAGAAGAACTGACCAGAATTTTCAAGGCATCAAATTTGATCAGAAGGCTACGAGCGTTTACATGTAGAAAATGAAGTTCTGACATGTTTTTAAAGTCATTTGGTGTGGTGTAATTAGTGGGGGGTCCAGGATTGGGCTGAATCCCTGAGAGCAGTAACAACATTATTATCAGACATTTTCTAGAGTTTTTTGTGACTGATGTGTAATTACAGGAGTTAACAGTGTGACAATTAGTCCCCATAATTGAATCATGAGAAACATTAATGAAGACGCGTTCATTCAGAACCCAAAAAAACAATGCAAGTTGCAGTGATGGACAAATCCATGTGGATTAACAAGATTCAGTGACTCCAGATAGTCTGAGATCTGAAAACAATGACAATAATATAAATGGTGCAGAAAAGTCTCAGACCATAAAACGTCAAAAATCAAATGAGCAAACTAATCCAACGAGGTGGCCTAACTCCAGTTTGAGTTGGGCTGAGGGGGGCTCCGGCCCCCTTGCAAAGATGGATGGATGCTCCCATGAGAAACAGAAGCTGTGTCCTGAACCAACAGGCAGAAACAGATAATTTGCAGCAAATAGCAGAGCGAGTTACCAGAAAATCCTCCTGAAATGAACGGCATAGTCCTAACTTGTTTCAGGTCAACAGGGGACAACAGCGTGATCCAAAATAAAATTAATTATTATCCAGGTGAGTTTGGATGGAGGCCTACAGTAACTCAGATGCAAACTCCGAACTTTTCTCGAGCACCACGCAGCGCTGCTCCTCCGCTTCTCTGCACGTCACCTCCGCACCCGACAGCAAGAGAGGCACCCTCGGTGAAAACTACGAAAATTACCGGAGAGGCTGAGGTTGAAGTCGTCACTGGTCCGGTCCAGTTCTGCTCCAGTCCAGCTCTGGCGCTCCATAGCACAAGAGGCGAAGAGGCTGAAGTTGTCCCTGGCCCGGTTCTGCTCCGGTCCGGTTCCGGTGGAGCTTCAAAGCATCAGAGTGTCTCCTCCAGGCAAAAACAGCGATTCCACGGAGGTGGACAGTCCTTCATTAAAAGTAATGGGCTGCTCACTGAAGCTGAGACCGGCTCTGTTGAAGATGAAGTCCCTCACAGTCAACTTGGTTTGGTTCTGGTCCTGTTCAGGCGACACAGGTACACTTTCCCCACACCAATGAAGACACCACGAGGGCCAGTCCAGCAGAAAACCAGCGAAATACCACCTGCCGATTCTCGTCGGAACCAGGTAGAACCACAAAGGTCCAGATGAGAAGTTTGTTGGGGTCCAGAGAGAGCGAGAAAAAATACCGGACCTTCGTGCGACGACTCCCCAGCTCGAGGGGTCACCTGGCCGGCAGGGTGCGCTCAGAGTGACCGGTGGGGTGGGAGCGGCCGGTCCTGGACCTAAATATATTTTTTGGACGGTCCCTTCTGGCTCTCTGAGTCACTGAACACCAAATTCGGTTGGAAGGGGGACCATCTTTAGTCTGGTTCGAAAAATGGGTCAGTTTGATGATAAAAGAATGCAGAGAAGCCGGGGGGAGCTTCCATCCATCTGCTTGCCGGAAGTGAAACAAAATTTAAGATGGCTACCACAGCTACCTGACTTTGAAAATCACAAAAAAAGCTATAATAAAGTCTGTTTTACAAATATTAATTTATAATTGAATGTGGTAGTAGCCTAGAATCATCTCCAATGCAGAATGTCTGTGTTGCTCAATGTGCAAGATTATTGCTTGAGTTCAAGTACAAAATGTAATTTCATTAACTGTTGGGCTCAACCCTGTTACTCTGTTTGCAAATTATCTCATGAAGCACTGAAGAAATTTTAATAATGTTTTGAAAGGAAATTTTGGATGTACATCTGCAACTAACTAACTTTTGAGGGCATCAATTCAGAATGGCTGCCAAAGTTAATCAGCATTAGCAAACGTAAAAATAGCTATACTTCTGTCAGATTTACAAATATTGAACAAAAAAGATTCAGCCATGTTTAGCCATATTGAGATGACATTTATTTTAGTTTTGTGATATGCATTTTGTCAAGGATTTGGTTTTTTTTTCAAGGAATGCTACACCTTTATTAAAAACAAACTAATCTTTCGGCCGTTATTATTTGAAACAGTTTCCTTATTATAAACAAATGTGTGCGAAACATGTTTGTTCCTAGAACTAAAATGGTACCTGTTGGTATGGGCTGCAGTAGACCTCTGAGCCGGCGAGGCCGCAGGTGGAGGATGCTCGAAACAGGTCCGATCTGCCCAGTAGGAGGTCTCTGCTGGGGGGGTAACATGCTCCCTTAGAGCAGTCATTCTGGGACCGAGTTACTGCTGCTAATGCTAGAAGAGAAGAACATGAACGTATTATTCTAACAGTTTGACTGCAGTCACAGTACTAACAGCCTCCGTTCATTCTGCACAGTTTTTTTTAACAAAGTCGTTTTTTTTATTATTCTTTTGCTTTTGTAGAACACAAACATACACAAAGAAAACAGAACAAAAGTAAAGAACACTGAATAAAATCCCCTCACACCCCATCCCTCTCACACCGGACCAGTCACACATATACAGGCATTGAGAAGCTCTCAACAAATGAAATAAAAGGATGCCAGGTGTCCGAGAATCTTCCTGCAAAATCTTCCCTAAAGGATGGATTTGACTTTTTCCAGATGGATATGATACACAACCTCTCTTATCCATTGTATATAGGCTGAGGGGTGTGGGTCCTTCCAATTGCACAAAATTAGCCTCCCGGGCAGAAGAGAGACAAAGGAAATCCCATCCTTCTTGTATTTGCTTAAGGACATCTCCACAGGTATCATTCCTAACAGTGAGATGAGTGGTGATGGGTGTACAGTTTTGCCACATGTCCCAGAGAAGGTGTCAAATATAGATTGCCAAAAAGTCTGAAGTTTGGGAGAGGTCCAGAATGTATGCAGGAGTGTAGATGGAGTTTGTTTACAATGATTGCATTTGGGGTCCAGGTTGGCTTTGACAGTGTGTCTTTGGCCCAGTGCAGCCAATGCACTACCTTGAATTAAATTACGGCATGTCTCAGACAGATTGAGGATGCGTAAATGTTCTTAAAGATCTTTTGCCAGATTGAGTCTGATATGGATTCCTCCTAGTCTGTTTTCCATTTTGGTTTAAGGGAGTTCAAACTGGACCCATAGTATGAACTGATCAGTTATCTTGTTGAGGGCCCCCTTAGTATCAGACCTGCATTCCAAAATCTTAGCAACAAAACGTTTAGAGGGGTAACAACGGAAAACAGAGTTAGAGCTCACAAAATGTCTCAGCTGCAGATATCTGAAAAACTGTGACTTGTGAATATTAAACTTCTGTATCAGCTGTTCAAAAGAGGCAAATATACCATAAACATAGAGATCACACAGTGAATGCACTCCCCTCAAGACCCAGGTGTCAAAAGCTGTATCAGCTACTGAGGAAGTAAACACATGATTATTGAACACAGGGGCGAAAAACAGTAACTCGAGTTAAATGTCGCCCAGAACTGATTCCAAATCTTAACCGCCCAAATCACAACTGGGTTAGAAGTGTAGGTTGATCAGCCGGTCAAAGCAGATGGCCGCTTGTCCTGAGCCTGGTTCTGCTAGATGGTTCTTCCTTTTTAAAAGGGAGTTTTTCCTTTCCACTGTTGCCATAGTGCTTGCTCAATATGGGAGACTGCGGTGAAGTGAAGATTCAACTTGTCTGCTGGCTTCTTTAGATAGAGAACTTTACTAATTGGCTTTTCTATGTATGTGAATGTTCCTGTAAAGTGCCCTGACAACTTTGTTGTGATTTGGTGCTATATAAATAAACTGAATTGAATTATTTATTGGCAGCACGGTGGCGCAACTGGTAGAGCTGCTGCCTCTCAGCGAGCAGGTCCTTGGTTCAAACCCGGGTTTTCTCTGGGTACTCCGGTTTCCTCCCACAGACCAAAAACATGCATGTTAAGCTGATTGGTAACTCTAAATTGTCCCTAGGTGTGAGTGAGAGAGTGAACAGTTGTTTGTCTCGTTTGTCTCTATGTGTCCCTGTGATGGACTGGAGACCTGTCCAGGGTGTACACCGCCCCTCGCACAGTGATTGCTGGACATGGGCACCAGCGACCCCCGTGACCCAAAATGGAATAAGCGGGTAAAGATAATGGATGGATGGATGGATGGATGGATGAATTATTTATTGTTTAAAAGGCAGTTGAGAGGGGGCGTGGTTTAGCGGTCAATGGAGTAAAACGTGGGTTTTTGTAGCTCCTGCCGAGTTTGGTCAAAATTCTTATTTTACTGTGCTTTTTTTTTTAATAAACCAAGTGTTTCCTCTCTACATTTTTGCATTTTTTTGGTCTAATTACATCCTTTTGTATCACGTTGAAATGTCAGGAAGAGGAAAATCTCGTACTATTCAGACGTAGATAAAGCCGTGCTAGCAGGCCTCAACTTCTGGGCCGCTGGGGCTGGGTGACGAGCCTGTCCCAACACAGGTGAATCCGGACACTGATCCCTTAAAACTAGTCAAGTCAAGTCACATTTATTTATATAGCACATTTAAAAGAATAACTGTTATCAAAGTGCTTACCAAAAAAGATCACAGCATCAAATATTAATAACAACATATTACAGCAACATGAATAAAAGCATAAAAACATTAAATATAATGAGAAACAATTAAATACTAAATCAAATCACCCTGCGTTAAATGTCAGGGAGTAAAAGCAAAATGGATGAACACAATCATCAACAATGAAATACCAAATGAGATCACACTGTGTTAAATGCCAATGAGTACAGATGTGTCAGTGAGTACAGATGTGTTTTGAGGAGAGATTTAAAAATAGAGACTGAGGTGGCCTGTCGAATGTTGATGGGCAGATTGTTCCAGAGTTTAGGGCCCATGACTGAAAATGCCCGATCTCCTCTGAGCTTCAGCTGGTTTTTGGTACGGCCAAAAACAGCTGGTCTGATGATCTCAAGGCCTGAGAAGGAGCATAAGGATGAAGGAGGTCGGAGAGGTATGAGGGTGCAAGGCCATTAACACACTTAAATGTCAGCAGAAGAACCTTAAAATCAACTCTGACACTAACAGGAAGCCAGTGAAGAGAGGACAGAACTGGAGTAATGTGCTCAAACCTGCGAGTTCCTGTTAGTAGCCGAGCTGCAGCATTTTGGACAAGCTGGAGACATGAGAGAGAGACCTGACTAACCCCAGCATAAAGCGAGTTACAGTAGGCCAGCCGGGTTGTAATAAATGCATGGACTAATTTTTCAAGGTCGGATCTGGACAGGACGGACTTGAGCTTAGCCATCTGCCTTAGCTGAAAGAAGCTTTTTTGAAGAACAGAATTTATCTGCTTCTTAAACTTAAAGTCAGAGTCTGAAACTATCCCGAGATTGGTAACAGACTGTTTTAGATATGGCTGAAGGGAGTCCAGGTTTGCAGGATCAGTGACAGTGGCAGAGCTAGGGTTAAACACAATGACCTCAGTCTTCTGATCATTAAAACTCAAAAAGTTCACAGCCATCCAAGTCTTGATGTCATCAAAACATTTTAACAAAGGGTGAATGGAAGAGGAACTGTTAGGTGTTAACGGCAGATAAATCTCATATCATCACAGTCCCTGTGACCCACATCTTCAATCTCTCCATAAGACAAAACTCCATCCCAGACACTTGGAAAACAGCCTTTGTTCTTCCTTTGTTGAAGGGAGGTGACCCCACCTCACTGAACAACTATCGACCAATCTCTAAACTCTGCATTTTAGCCAATGTTCTAGAAAAACTGATAAACTCTCAAGTCAAAAATTACCTGGACTCATTTAACATCTTACCTCCACATCAATCTGGTTTCAGGAAACAACACAGCACAACCACTGCTTCACTGAAGGTTCTTAATGATGTTGTTGAAGCACTGGATGCTAAGGATTATTGTGCTGCACTTTTCTTAGACCTGTCTAAAGATTCTGACACTGTGGATCAGAACATCTTGTGTCATAAACTCCCAGAAACTGGTTTCTCAGATCACACCATTGGTTGGTTCTCTATCTTTCAGACAGGAGGCAATGTGTTCAACATAATGGTACTTTCTCCAGTTATTTAACAGTCAACAATGGTGTACCACAAGGCTCAGTCTTAGGACCCACCCTCTTTACAATCTACATACATAATATAGGTAAAAACATCCCTAATGCATCCATACATTTCTATGCTGACGACAGTTGTTTATTGTCGAGCTAAAACTGTTGCTAAGGCTTTCCAGCTTTTGAAATCTGCATTCAACATCATCCAGACTGATTTGTTTCGCCTCAAACTTGTCCTAAATGCCGACAAAACCAAAGGGATGCTTTTTTCAAATAGGAAGTTGGTCCCAGCAGTTCTTCCTCCGATTTCATCCTCAAATGGTGTCCCCATTGAGATTGTTGATTCCTATAAATATTTGGGTATCTTGGTCGACTCACATCTCTCTTTTAAGCTCCATGTGGAAAACTTGATAAAGAAACTGAAAGCTAAACTGGGTTTCTTTTTCAGAAACAGATCCTGTCTAACCCTGAATGCTAGAAAACGCCTTGTATCTGTGACTTTCCTTCCCTCAATTGATTATGGTGATATTATTTACATGAACGCTCCTACAAGAACCCTGCAGATGTTGGATGCTGCAGATGTTGGATGCTGCAGATGTTGGATGCTGTCTATCATGGTGCACTAAGATTCATAACTGGCTGTGATTATCATACCCACCACTGCACCCTGTATTCACTGGTTAACTGGTCACCATTAACTTCACGCAGACTCTCTCACTGGTATATTTTCATCTTTAAATCGCTTCTTGGTCTGTTGCCTTCATACATCTCCTCCTACATGTCTCTGCGTGAGTGCAGCTACGGAGTGCGCTCTCAGGACATTATTACCTGCAGTGTTCCCTCAATGAGGACTGAACTAGGCAAAAGGGCCTTCTCCTATTCCGCTCCTGTTTCCTGGAACATCTTACAAAAAGATTTGAAGCTCTCGACCTTGACCTCTCTAAGTGTCTTTAAGAATCTGTTGGACACCTGGCAGGGTCCAATGCTGACATGTTCCTGTTTTTAGTTTTATACATTTGTCTTGGAATCTAGCTGTTTTTTGTTTTGTTGCCTTTTCCTTTTAGCCATCCTATTTGTTAAAAAAAAATAAAAATAAAAAATAAAACTGTAGTATGCTTTTTTATAACTGTTTATTGTTGTTGCTGTTGTCCATTGTTGTCATCTTTCTTTGTTGAAATCAGGTCTCTCTTGTAAATGAGTCCTCGAGGCTCAATGGGATTTACCTGTATAAATAAAGGTTGATTGATTGATTGAAATC